CAGCTGACAAAATATGAATATTAAATAGGTTTGAGACCTTATGTGTTCTCATTTCTCTAGAAAATAGAGATTTTATAGGGGTTAGGATACATATGAAGTTTAAATAAATTACTTGTTGAAAAGTTAGAAATGATGACCAAATACCATGAAAATATGTTTAGCCTACATTACTATAAATTAAGAGTGTGGTTTGGTATTTCTTAACTACACTAAAGTGTTTTAAATTAAAGATAGCATTTTTCAGAAATTTCAATTTTTTCAAAGGGGTTAACCCACATATTTCAAAAAAAATTAGAATTTTTTTTATTTTTTGTTTTATTGCATATTTGCATCATCACCTGACATAGTATGAATATTCAAGAGGTTTGAGACCTTATGTGTTCTCATTTCTCTAGAAAATAGAGATTTTATCGGAGTTATGACACTAATTAGATCGTATATGAAGTTTAAATAAATTACTCTTTAGAAATTTACAAATGATGACCATATACCATTAAAATATGTTTACCCTATATTAATATACATTGAGAGTGTGTTTTGGTATTTTTAAATAACACTAAAGTGTATAAAATTAAAGATAGCATTTATCAGAAAATTCAATTTTTACAAAGGGGTTAACCCACATATTTCATCAAAAATTTGAATTTTTGTTTTATTGCATATTTGCATCATCAGCTGACAAAGTATGAATATTAAATAGGTTTGAGACCTTATGTGTTCTCATTTCTCTAGAAAATAGAGATTTCATAGGGGTTAGGTTACATATGAAATTTAAATAAATTACTTGTTGAAAAGTTAGAAATGATGACCAAGTACCATGAAAATATGTTTAGCGTGCATTAAAATACATTGAGAGTGTGGTTTGGTATTTTTAAAAACAACTAAAGTGTCTAAAATTAAATATAGCATTTATCGGAAAATTCAATTTTTTCAATGGTGTTAACCCACATATTTCAAGAAAAATTAGAAAATTTTCAATTTTTTGTTTTATTGCATATTTGCATCATCAACTGACATAGAATGAATATTAAAGAGGTTTGAGACCTTATGTGTTCTCATTTCTCTAGAAAATAGATATTTTATCGGGATAAAGAAACTAGTTAAATTGTATATGAAGTTTAAATAAATTATTCGTTGGAAAGTTAGAAATGATGACCATGTAACATGAAAATATGTTTAGCCTACATTAATATACATTGAGAGTGTGGTTTGGTATATTTTAACAACACTAAAGTGTCTAAAATTAAATGTAGCATTTATCGGAAAATTCAATTTTTTCAAAGGGGTTAACCCACATATTTCAAGAAAAATTAGAAATTTTTCAATTTTTTGTTTTATTGCATATTTCCATCATAAACTGACATATAATGAATATTAAAGAGATTTGAGACCTTATGTGTTCTCATTTCTCTAGAAATCAGAGATTTTATAGGTGTTAAAACACTAATTAGATCGTATACAATGTTTAAATAAATTACTCGTTAGAAAGTTAGAAATGATGACCATGTACCATGAAAATATGTTTTGCCTATATTAATATACATTGAGAGTGTGTTTTGGTATTTTTAAACAACACTAAAGTGTATAAAATTAAATATAGCATTTCTCGGAAAATTCAATTTTTTTCAAAGGGGTTAACCCACATATTTCAAGAAAAATTAGATTT